CTCACAGCAACCTCAAACTCTTGGGCTTAAGCAATTCTCTTGCCTCAGCATCCCAAGTACCTGGGACTACAGGCACCTGCCACAACACCTGGCTATTTTTTGCTTGTAGTTGCCATTGTTTGGCAGGCCCAGGCTGGATTCAAACTCGCCAGTTCCAGTGTACGTGGCTGGTGCCCTAGTGGCTGAACTATAGGCACTAAGCCTTGTTTGTGTTTTTAAAATGATCCTAATTTCTAAAAAGAATCAAAACCAGTAGGGTCTGAAGGAAGCAAGAGTGAGAAAGAGGGAAAGAGAGGGTGTCCAGTTCCCCACTACTGGGGACAGCAGGGATGTATGAATTGCTGTGAGTCCAGTAGACACTATGGAAGATAGCTAAGTGACCAAGAGGATGGAATGCTGAATGCTGGGTGAGGACCCCAATGCTAATAAATTATGAGTTATCTCAGGAGTGATTGAGATCAAGGGCTGGGGATTATGAGAGAATGAAGTAGTAAAGAATATCTCTTACATCCAGGCACCATACAATGCAGACCTCTGAAAGACTCGCCAAAGATGGTATACGTCGTATGGGAGTCAGTAGTCAGAGCCTACTACACAGAGGCATTCAAGGAATTAAAGGCTCAGATGCTGCACCTGCTGTTGTTCAACATTGGACCTGCCATTTACTGTCTCTGTGAGCTTGGGCACCTCTTTGAGCTTCAGTGTCCTCATCTGTAAATTAGGGATCATGAAAGTACCCATCTCACTGAATTGTGGGGATTAAACAAATTCACACACACATGCATAAATTCATATACATTGCACATAGCACTGGGAATGTATTCACAACAGACAGAGAAAGCCTAAAACATCTCCTATTCCGGAAAAGACATTAGCCCTCTTCCCTGTAAAGCCTCTTGTCCTGAGACATGCCAGAAAAAAGATAAAACAAAAAGATGGAATATACAACAGCAACAGACCTTATTTCATCTACCCTCTAAGCTGATGAAGGAATAACTGGCTGGCTGTGGGCAGAGGGAAGCAGATGAGGTTTGAATTATATAGACGAGGGTGATGTTTTAAACTAGGTCAGATGGTGGTTTTAGTATCTAAATAATATCTAGAAATTATCGAGTCTGCTTAAAAGCTTGTGAAGAATTTTCTCCCCAGAGGGACAAGGAGATTCTAGATAGCATAATCCTTTAGACCCCAGTGGTTGGAGAAAAATCTCATTTTCTCTGTGTACCTGTCAAGTTTAAATTGTTTAACACACTGTTTACACATGTAATCTTACCTCTTTATTACTCGTTTGGTTCCTACTTAATTTATGAGTCGTTCAAAGTTGTTCTGTATCTCTACAGTGGACTTTAAAACTAACTTTTGCTATAGAGCAAGCTTTTGCCAAAATGCGTTCCAAAATGTTGTCCTTCCCACGTGACTCTCCTTGCTTAGGGACAGAAGTCCACACCCTTCTGACAGCAAGCAAAGCTGGACAGATTCCTCTGTGATACTTTCCCAACTATGTTCAGAAGGAAGAATTAACGAACTAGAATGACTAGGAAGGAATCATCAAGATGTGGCCAAGATTTGCAGGATTCCAGCTGCCAGAAGAGTCACTGCTCCATACCTAAATCAACATCATTGATTTGATACTTATTTCCACTCTGACCAAAATCTAGTAGGTTCTCTTTCTTTTGTTGAGATAGGGAGGTTGAGCTGTAGAATTATTATTTTGGTCATCTCCGAAATGATGCCACTTGTGGTCACAAAGTACAAATCTGAGTTATGATTTAAGTTTCAGTGAACTGGGAAGGAGGCCGGCAGGGATCCCTTAACCAGTTAAAATGACCAAAGGATATGAAAAGTGATGAATGGAGCTCGTGTCACTGCTGAACTGGGAAAAGAAGCACCCACGTGCTCCGAACCTCAGGGCAATTTTGCCATTGTGCAGATAGGACGGATGGAGGGGAGACCTAAGAGAAGTCTTCCGGAGAATTTGGCACATAATGTGCAGTAAAGGTAACTTCTAACAGCAGCTGAGCAGGGAGACCTATTGAAACACAGGGGCCAAGGTCATGTTTATGACAGAACCCTCATTTTAATCAGAGGATTCAATAGCATGTTTATGAAAGGTCACGTTTATGAATAGGTCACGTGTGTGAAAGAACCCTCATTTTAAAAGGAGGATTCAGTAGCAAGGATATGTATGAATCAATGCCAACGAGAATCCAGCCATAGAATGTGAAAGGGGAGAATCTTGAATAGGTAATTTCTCCACTTGTATTTTCTTGTCTTTACTGGAGGATGGCTAGGAAGTGAGGAAGGAGTCCAAGAAACTTGCAGATAGAATTCATTCTTATTTCAAAACTAGAATTTTAAAGATTCCCCAAATTTCTAAGACCACCAATATTTGTAGCATCTTTAAAATTATCTAGAAAAGTCGGGAAAACTTTGGGCCTCTCCTGAAATGGATAACTACTGTAATTTAAGAAAGGTGCCCGGTTGTAAAAGCACTCTCACCTTTTACACCTAAGTGCAGAATATCTGCTAACAATTTAATGGGGTTACTGGCTGCTGCCCATTCATTCCCTTCCATTTTATTAAAAACAAAAAACTCCACCACTGTTAATTAGTTTAAAATCAGATAAAGCCACCATGATGTGCCAGGGATAGTGTCTGTTTTGTTGATAGAAATTCTTTCTACCTAGAGTGACTGAAACACTGCCTGGTAAATCAAATCATGAGTTCCTGCCATGTTACCATGTCTCAAAAATTATCTCCAATATTGAGATAATTGGAGATAATTATCAGACTTGAGAAAGTGTGTGAAACATGCACACTTGACCAGGTATACTTTTTTTTTCTGTAGTAATGGGAAACATCAACTCTTTTGAAATATAAAACATAAAACTAGGTGGTCCTTTGGGAGGTGGGAGGCTCCAGGGCTAACCAAATCAGACTTCTCCCATTCACCCCTTTTTAATGATGCTACACGTATTTATATGAGCTTTAAACTTAGTGACGAGAAAGCCCAGAACCTGAGGTTAGTCTAAAGAAGGGGATGACAGCAGGTAGGGGTTTTGTAGAA